CGAACGTGCTGCTCTTCACAGCCCTTGAAACTTGGCATGAGCTGTGTTTTGTCACCACCACCACCAACAAAGATTGCCAGTGAAATAAAAATCTGGCACCGCCGTTCTGCAGGTTTATTTGCAATGTATAGGAATGGGATTTTCCCGCTGACTTTTCTTGGCATCGATCCCAAGCTCCGGGTCTTGCGGATTTACTTTGTCGCTCTCTGTTGTGCTTGGTTGACAGTGTTGTAGCAGCTCCTCGTCCGGATCGCAGGAGCAACGGCCAAGCCAGGGCACTTCCAAGCTGGGAGTTTCTGTCAGCCGAGAGGCAGCAGGAAAAGCTCTACCGCAGAGCTGGAGGGCAGGAGTCCCGGGCAGGGTTGGCACGCCGGGCTTCGGAAAGGGCACGCGCCCAACACCCAGCGCTGCCTCGCCTGCTGTCGGCGCAGTTCATTCCCAGACACATACCTGTCTTTCAGCCCTGGCAAATCAGAACCCCGGCAAGCCTTGCAGTCACTTGAATCCCAGTGAAGCAAACTTTAAGGTACTGTTTCACTTGTGCTCTGCATAACTTCATGCACTCACATGAAGCAGGCAGATACATGTCAGGTGCAGCTCGGCAACGCGGGGCCAGGAGAAGTGAAATTCACCTGGAGGAAACGGTGCGGGGGGGAAACAGATGCATCTCAGCAATAGGCGATGGGAAGGGGATGTTAAGTCATTAATTGCCTCGCCTTGCATAAACAAAACTTAATATTTTGAAAAGTCTCTAATTTTAAGGGAAGGAAAAATCTTTCATCTTCCATGCTATTTAGCTGGGTGCCAAGCTGGGGCAGGTGGAAGCGTTTTCTGCTTTGCGTAGCCGTGAGGTTCCCATTTGGTTGAGCGTTGGGCTGGGCTAGAGGAGGAAAAGGCTTGAGATGGTCCAGACTGCAGAATCCTTCACTCACCAGAGCATTTCTGTCTGGGGAGACGCAGCGGTCAGTTTCCCTTACGGAGCGTGTTGCTTCCAGCTGGGAACTCCTGTCCTCACAGAAGTGCCCTTGTACCCGCGCTGTGATAGCAGCCGGAGGACCAGCATCAAAACACACGTGTGGCAGAGGGGTGGGTGTAGCATTTGGGGCCTGGGGTCTTGAAAAATCACAGGGTTGGCAAAGACCTTCCAGATCAGCAAGTCCAACCGTAAACCCATGATCCCCATGTCTGCTAAGCCATGTCCCTAAGTACCTCATCATTTGGAAGAAAATTCAAAAAAAAAGTGGGAGAAGCTGATAAGTTTGTGCCTGGTCTCGAACTATTTTAAAATGGAGTCGTTCAGTCTTGGAAGGTTTCAGTTCATCTTTTTTTCTCAGTAGGAGCTATAGTAAAGATGGAGTTCTTAGCACTTAGTCGAAGCACTAGGCAGATTTCAGAGAGAGCATATTAAACATTATTTTTTGTCATCAGTGACTGGTTCTTCTTCCAGCTGCTTGGCAATTATATATATATATATATATTTAAGAGTAGACTACTAGTATTTAGTGAGCAGTGGCCACTCTGGGGGATTTCCAGTGGCCGTGAGGCAGAGCCGGGGGGGCGGGGGGAGGGAGGGCTGGCCGTGCGGAGGCCGCTGCCGAGGGGCGTCTCCGTGTGCTCGGGGAGAACGCAGGGCTGCTAGTGCGAATGCTCTCTGAGATGTTCTTGCAGGATTAAGACGTTTTGTTTCCCCAGTGGAGTCCTGAAGATGAAATACAGCTTCATTCCCGTATAGTAAATCTGCATGTTATGCATAAATTACTTAAAAACTCGGAAGTCGGAAAATATTACGCTGTTAAACATGTCAAATCAGATGATTAAATGATGGGATTGTTAGCAAGAAAATAGTAATTTTCTGAAACAGCTAAATGTATGATCTGTCACAATGATCTGCAGAATTACCCACCCTCCCAAATTATTCGAGCAGATTTGCCTGCCAACCGTCACATTTTTATGCAGTAGGTATTAAAAACAGGAGATATTAGTGAAAACGCTCCTGATTTTTCTCAAGTTAATTGACAAGCTCCTTCCTTCCACTGCAGTTGCTTTATCTGCCACAGTTTAACGGAGGCTCTGTGTGGTTGGCGATGGAGCCTCATGGACACCTCAGCAGTCCCCGTTGCACCTTGATCTGCTGGTGGCAGCAGACTGTGCAAGAGCCTCCATGGAGGAGCTGCTGCCTGGGGCTGCTGTGGGTTCTGCAGAGGGGGAAGCGGGCTGCTAAACTCAGCCTTTCCTGGCCTAATTGAGCCAGTTCTAAGTTTGGGGGGTTGGGCTGCTATA